TATATATAGTTCTGTGTGTGTGTGTGTGCAAGAGATGTGTAAATAATATATGTTGATAATGCATGCCTTCTATTCACAAGCGCATATGTAACGCATGCCTATTTTCTATTGGAAGGCACTAAATCAGCACTGCCAAAGAAACACTCTGTAGCACTGAAAAAATTCTTTCTCACGCGCATGCGCAGAAAGAAGTGATAAAGACAGACAAAAGAGCTGCAGACAGCTTAGCACGGCCGCCTTCGTTCGGTATTATATCGGTTCTTGTGCCCAAAACGGACATTTCACATTGGAAAACATGCTGAAGTCTTTCTCAATAGAATAATAAGCGTTGTGATCAGAAAAATATGCCAACGCACGACATTCCAAAGTGTGTCAGCAAGGGAAAGTACGAACAAGATTTTTTTTTTTACTCTGAAAATCGCATGCACTGAAACACATCTGTCTACATTTCGATAGACACTCGAAATAGAAAATACAACCATTGAATGAATTGTGCATTTTAACAGTCAATACAAAAGAATGTGAAACTGAGGTAATTGACATATTACGAGAAAATAAAAAAAAATGTTTTAAAAATATATAAAAAATAAAATAAAAATGTAACTGCAACCGGAAAGAGTCGGCAGTGATAATCAATGAAAACAGGTCATACACTCTTTCTTTAATCTATTGTAAATGTTTTAACAATAAATGTCGGAAATTATTTTGTCGTAAAGGAACTAAATTATAATCATTTCGGTTTATACATGAAAATACGCTGTAGTTAAATAAATGAATAAATATATAAAAAAATAAATAATGAAATTAAAATCACCTCTTTTCATACTTGTATTTTGTTTTTAATTAAATGTTCTGTAAGCATGGAAACATTATTTTAGCCCTAAATAGATATGTATAATTAGTTCGAATTTGCATATTCTGTTATTTACATTGATACGTTTCGTAAATATACATATATATATTTTAATAATTTCACTTCAAAGCAAGGCAATAAAGTCACTAACACACAAGTGATTACGGAGTATAAAAAATAAGAAAAAGAAAACATTATTAAGACCAGGAATAAAGAAGACATTAGATAACGATTGATATTGCATTTAAATGTTTGAAGATCAAAGTTGACTGGAAAGCAAGAAGCTGGAAGAGTTCCATAAGCGAAAACTGCCAGAGAAGTAACTGTTAGCATAGAACTTATGGTTATATCTAACCAATTCAACTGTAAAATGATGAGACCTTTTTGCCACAATCTACTGCACTTAAATACATAAAGTCTAGGTACCATAGGGAAAATTAATCGGACAGAATAAACATATAAGTAGATTTGCTTCCAAGAACACGTCGTTGAAGGCATTTTAAGATAAAGTCAATTTTGCATGTTGCGTGTGTATTGAGTTTAAAAAAGCATGATGTTATGGAGTCAACTGATTTCAGATTAATTTTCCTAGAGATTATTTTACTTGAATTGTTTCCCATTTACTTAATCAGTTATTCTCAACAATTCATCCAAAATCAATCCCAATAACATTGTACATCTTTTCTGTAAACCTTTCTTCTTGCATAGATTTTATTATTGTTAGTCATATTACTAACTGCTTAACAATACCTACTAAATGGAAAATGGAGAAATATTGTTCTTTGCATCGTGATGCTATCGAACTTTATCTGATTCAAAATATAAAGTCTTTCCTGAGAGCATTCAGCTATTTTGAATAAATAGTTACGTGCGCTTCATGTAGATTTCCAACCAGTCAGGAAGGACATTATACGCAAGACTGAATACCAAGGCAAACTTTTAAAAAATGCATCACCAGCGTCTCTCAGCCTACTTACAGTTCAGAGATATTTTTTTTTCTATGAACTTTATTTATCGCCATTAAAAAGAAGATTTTAGAACCAAGACGAGAGAAAGCAATAAATGACATCCTCGAAAGAGAACATTGCAGACTTATGCTTATAATTAATATAAACATTAATCCCTACAAAAATATATTTCTCGAAGTGACGTGGGAAAAATAGGTGTCAAAATATTTTTACAATAATTTTCTAAAATTTAAAAAAAAAAGCCAAAAAAAAACCAAAGAAGTAACGTTTTTAAAATAAATTTAAGTTGAGAAAAAATCCTGAAAGTTTAATTAAAATCCGACAATATTTTGATTTTTGCAGGAATTTTTAAATCAATGTGTTTTTACCGTAAAAAGACACTACAATTTCCTATACTAATTTATGGTTACCTGCTGACACAAAAAAGCAAAAACATTAACCAAAATTTTGAAGCTTTTAAAAAAGATGAACAAATATAATTTTAAAAATGAAAAAAAAAAAAGAAAAAAAAAGAAAAAGATTTTAAATCTTTTGATTTTACGTCTTAAACATCACGATTTTGCCGATAAAACTTAAGTTTGGGTCATCATGTTTGCTCATTTTTAAAGAAGCTTTGTAAGTATATATAACTCACCCACCCACAAATGCTCATCAGGGCCATCTGTTTGTTAAATCAACAAGTATCTTGTACTGGTGAGCGTTCAACACGAAAGTATTGAGTTGTTCAATCAGATAAGCCATTTGAACTTTTCTTGATTTATTGAATATATATATATATATATATATATATATATATATATATATATACAATACATTCGTTAATATATTTCATTTATTCATAATGCAAACAACTTGATTTTCACCTTTGAATCAAGTAATTATTTTCTTACTTTCATCTTTACATATTATGCACCATGTCAGTAATTTTGATTCTATTTGATTTCTTAAAATATTCCCTATTAATTATATAAACACATATTATCGTCGTTTATAAATCATAAATTGAAGCAAAAAAAATATTGTGAAAATTGGCCTTCCTAATTTGTTTTTAATTCTATAAATCACAGAAACTACAAAAATATAGGAGAGTTATTAGAAGTTATAAAGACAGAAAATACAGAGCCTTAAATGTACCGAAGAATGATACTCTGAGAAAATGACATGAAAGAATTTTTTAATTTTAACGCCCTCGCAATACTATCGCAATAATATCACATATTAAATACTATAACATTAAAATTGCAATTAATTATTGAAATTATTCTCTGTGTTCACCTTATTCTTTTACAAAATGGCGAAATCACACCAGGAAATTAAATCCATTTATAATAGGGCAAATTACGTGAGTAGATTTAAACATGGTGGATATAAAGTGATCTGGTGTGTAGATTCGGGTTTTAAGATAGTTTATATTTATTTCAATTATTAAAATATTTTCGATATATTTATCATTACATTTATGAAATATTTGTTGTACAGTCAATTTGTATGAAGATAAAACAGTTTTAAAAGTCAATACAGATTTAATTAAATTAAGACAAACCTGACAGAAATTAAAATGTTAAAAATTACTTACCAACTAGTTTGTTAAGAATAGCTGATCAAAAAATTATAATTATTAAGAGTGTTAAAATATTTTTCTTACCTTGTGTTCATCCTGTTGTTGTTTGAGTGAAGTAAGCTTTTCGCACGGTTTCGTCTGGTCAACTAAAAACTTTTCAACCTCTTGAAGCCATGCTGTTTTTTCTTTTACTCGTACAAGAGCCCTGACGACTTCTTCATCTGATGCCAACATGACTTGTGCAGTTATTGGATCAATTCTTACTTTAGAGCTCATGGTCAGAAACCCGTCTGCCATGGCATCTCGGAGTGGAATTTCCTGACCCTCGGGGGCCAGGAATACAGAATTTCGGGGATTGATTTTTCGTTCATCAATGAGTTCTCTTAAACTAGACTCATTCTCAATATATTTTTCAGTTGTTATACTTGCGTCAATTAATCCTTCATGTACGGCTTGAGCTATTGTCAAGAGTTCACCGTTTGTTGCATTTTGGAATTTTCCAGAAACCGGATCAAATTTCCCTTTATCAATAAAAGAACCGAGTGAAGCTATATCGCCAGTCTGCTGATCAACAAAGAAAACATAATCTGGTTTAATAAGGCCTTTTTTGGTTGCTTCTTTAATGCACAGAGGACCGCCCGTGTCAGGTGAACTGACTTGACCGGTGACTGGATGGATTACGTTATTTAATTTTTTACTCAAAGACATTTTATTTAGAGCACCAAACAGTTGCATAACAACCGGCGTCTCAATTTTCTTGCTTTTAGCTGCTTTGATCAAGGGCGTCCTTTCTTGAAGTTGTTCGTTGACATAAACGGCTTCAGGAATATTAAGAACACCCGCGCGTACTGCCTCATCCACACTAACTATATCAGAGTTTGGCAGGTGAACTCCTCTGATTTCCGTGTTCATGAAATGACGGAGATGTGATAAGGATTCAGAGTCATCAGCTATTTTCTTTGGATCGATATGTACTCGAATGAGTTTATCTGCGGCAGCTTTGTTAAAACACAGTTCTTCATTCGTGTCGGGCTTAACATACTTGCCAGTGTCTACATCGTATCGGCCGCTTTCGATAGCATCGTACAGACTTAAAATTTTGTTGGAAGGCACTTCGTAGAAGTAAGTCATTTCTGGATTTATGATCTCCTGTTGAACAGCTGCGTTCAGAGACAAAGTTTGGCCATTGGAGATATTGGTCACCAAACCAGTTTCAGAGTCAAATACTTCCTGATCTATTAAGACACCTAAGCTCGCTTCTTCGTAGGCAGCGAGAATCTCTTTGAGGACATGAGGTGCGATTAAACCCTTTGCGCTCGCTTCTGGTAACGATAAGATCTCACCATCAAGCAAATCATAAGCAGCCTTTCCAAAATTTAATACTCCTTTGTGATATGCGTCCTCAATGCTCAATGTGCGGAGCGTCCGTGGATCTTTAATCCCTTTAAGACTAACGTCGATTTTATTGTTCAGCTTCTGGTAAAGGGCTAGATTTGGATCAGGTCGACAGTTCTCATCGAGATCACAGTTCAGTAGGGCTGTTTCAGTATGTGCCGCAATGTACTGATCTTGTTTAACGCGCAGTTCTTTGACGGATATTGTGTTCATATCATTCTTATCCAAAGTTGGGTTGTAGAGACGAGCGTTCAGAAAGCCTTTGGATATTGCTTCAGACACTGGCATCGTCTCGCCAGTTACTGGGTTTTTGTAAATCCCGTTTGTACCGTCCAATAAACTGTCATGAAGAGCTCGTTTTAAGGATACGGGGCTGTTTACAGTTGGGTTGATCACGCTATCAATGATGTAAGTAACATCCTCCAACTGAAAATGGGTGAACGTTCCAGGTTCAGACAGGATGGCTATAACTTCCGGTTCCACTTGGATGTAACCGTTCTTCATTGCTTCTAAGATTGTCATCTCCTCTTTGGTAACCGGATTAATGTATTTAGCAGCTTTCATGTCGAGGATACCTGACGAAATGGCCTCTTTTACGCTGACAATTTCACCAGTACGGGGATCTACTAAGCCTGGAAAAGAAGTTGACAAAAGTGTAAGTAAATAGTTAAAATAGTTATCGATTAATAAGGTGAATGAAAGAGGTCGGTGTTAACGTCTAGGTAAAAACAATTACTTGGAATACCTGCTAAAGGAATTTTAATGCCAACTATTTCAGTGTCAGTTCTAAGCCAAAGTTCAGAAATCTTAAATGGCCAGCGTTGTAACGACAAAAGGCAAAGAGAAATTTATATATAATGGTTTGGTTTTAGACAAGCTAGCTAAGACGAATTTAATGACTGTTTTGGTATTGCAAAAATAAAAATACGTATGGAGAAAGATTTCATACCAAAATGAGAAAGTGATTTCTGAAATCAATCACTGGCATAATTTTTCTGTTGTATCAGTCGGAGTAAATTAAAATTAATCAACCATCAATCTCGTGGGGACAAAAGGCATTACACGCTCTAGTAGGCTATAATCTACTAGAGTGGCAAGCTAATCCTCTTTTGTAGACGACTACTCAGGCACATTTCTTGTGTTTCTTCCATACGCACAAAGCCAATCTGTGGTCTGTAGTGCAACTATGCTGACAGGACGTTAGTTACAGTTTCCGGAAGAGCGCGATAATCTGGTATAATCAATAGTTGAACAAAGCCAGTACATTTGAACTGTCACGATAACTTTTGGCTTCGTGCTAGCACTACCATCGATGGCTTCTGAACAGTTTCGTTTACCCAATTTCATTCACAAGGCTTGGGTATTTATCGATCAACGCAACCTAATTTTTCCTCTTTGGCAGCGAGACAGTCACTTCTGGTAACGGGATGGATTACTCAACGCTAATTTCCGAATTAGCATCGTGTTACAGTAACAAAACAAAAGAATATCTCAGTAAGGGAGATCAGGCTTCTAAAACGGTACTTTTTATTTTTCAGTTTCGCCTTTTAAAACTAGTTTTTTTTTATAATTTAATAAACGTGACATTTTCTTAAATGCGTCATCAGAGTTAGATGTACTGATAAAAGTCCTATATTACACATGAAATTGCAAAATGACTTGAGTATTACCTCTGCTTTTACGGATAAAAAAGTTAGTAAAATATGCTGTCACAAATAGGACAGTCGTTTACATTTTAATAATGTATATTAACGTACAGGTACATTAGATTTAATTTAGTCCCTTAAATTAATTGGATAAATAACTTAAGTAAAATCAAAATAATTAAACTAATAATACTAATATATAAGTGTATGTAAACAAAGTTAGTAGAGTATTAAGCGTTCTGAGAGAAAATGGTAAGATGTGAATGACTGCAGCCGATAGCCTTCGTAGCCTAATCGATGAGACGGCTGTTTATAGTAAGACATACTACCAAGTATAAAGGATGAGAGTTCGAGTCTCGTCTGAGACTTATTCTTCATTTCCAATTCCCCATTATTTACTAAGAACTGTAAAATTAACATTTCTTAGCTACGATATAAAGCAACAGAAATAAGTAAAAAAAAAAGTAACAACTGACGTAACTTCATCGAAGAAATTCAAATACAATTACGTTTAATGCTATTAACACAAATAAAACAACAGAAAGAACTAGCAAGTTTAAAAGACTAATAATTGGCAATGCTCCATTTAAGAACTTACCAGCGGCTGGAATAGAGCTGGAATCGATATGACTTTTGGAGGCATCCATACTGTTAGGTGAGCTATCGACACAGTCATTGATGTTCACTTCATCTTTATATTCTACGATTACGTATCCTCGGCTAATAGCTTCCGGGATTGACATGCTGCTGTTAGTTTCCGGGTTGTTGTATGTGCCACGGACCTGGTCTAAGATTCCGTTAGAGAACGCCTTCAACAGACTTAGCTTCTTTTGGCTGTTAGGGTCGATGACGGCGGTAATAACAAATGATTTCATTTTCCTACTCTTTATTTCTTTGGCGGCCACTTCGTTGAAGGCGTGCCCATTGGTGAGAGACTGACCATTTAACAATTTGCCCTCAAGCACGTTCTGCTTCAACAGTTTCTTGGGCGAGAACCGTTCGCAGATGTAGATTTCAGCATCAACTCTGACTGTGGAAGATTCTTTCGTGTCTTGACTAATCTCCACGGGTTTGGCTCTGAAATAAAGACAAACAAGATTTAGAATTAATGTCTTTAGTAATAAATTTTATTTTATTTATTGCATTGCAAACACGAGGTTTTAAAATCGATAATCAATAAATTATCAAATGTTGCAACTCGCTATGTATCGTTGAAATCTTTTAATCTTAGGATTGCTAAACAGACGATTGGGTTATGTCAAAAGTTGTTTCTGTTATTGTTAGATGACTTTAGGAGCGTTCAGCATTAATTTTATTTTAAAAAGTTTTTAACATTTTTTTTATTGATTCTGATATTCGAGATGGAAACTCGACATATACATTTTTATTCAAAAGTGAAAGTGACTCAAAACAAAGATAGCAGCGTATCAGGCGTTCAGGGAAAATAAGGAAAATAATTATATAGTTTCATACTGGAACACAGTCGGGGAAAGCAACAGAAGCTGATCGAGAGCAAATCAAAATCATTTTTGAGAATAATCAAAATCACATGACGCTCTTCTCCAGAAACAACGAATCATCTCCAACAACAAAGTCGGTTACTGAATCTTCGCTAACGATAAAAGTTTTTCAACCACAACTTTTTTTTTTTTTTTTTGTGGACCAAACTTCGGATTTTTCTGTATACAAATTTTCCAATGACTAACTCAGCTAAAAAAATATTTTAATAGATTTTGATTTCTGTACATATGTTTGTACATACAAATGATTTATTTAACAGGCATACCCAGGTTTTATTTGTTTTTATTTTATTACTGTTTGAAATTCGAACGTTCGGATTTTTAATATAAAAAAACCTTGACAGCCGAATTTCTTACAGATGAATTGGTTTACAAGACGGTATCTTCTAGCTAATATATAATTATCCTTTTTAACTAAAAAGACCATTTCATATATGGACCACTCGTGCTAGGCGATCCTTTTCATATTTCAGGAATAATTTCTAGAATTTTTAAAGCAACGTGACGGTATTGCCAGCGCTATAAGCGTTGTGATTATGCAGTAGAAAGTACATCAATGTTAGGCAGGTCATGTGGCAAGGAATAAACATTAGCGTCCCTCAAAGATGTTTATCGGTGAACTGGCTAGTGGTGGAACAGACAGATGCCACAGAAGAGATACAAGGACTCTTTAAAAAATCTCGTCTCTTGTGGAATCGACCAATACTACTGAGCCACAGATACGACTTCCCTTTTTGAAGTAAAATTCAGAGCACACGCTGAGGAAAAGCAACACAATCGAGGAACCGGAGTTTCCGAAAGTTATCAGACTTTCTCTAGTAGCTATTGTGGAAAACATGCATATCTACAGTACGCTACGTCAGCCGTAAGGAAACCTGTAATATCCGAGGTATTCCCACTTGAAACTTCGCTCGAAATGCCAAGCTAGGATATAATTTTTATATATCAATGTGAGGATGCGTGAAAGATTCTCGGCATGGTCAAGAAGATATTCATCCCAGTCCCAGAAATATTCAATATCATCTTGTATTTGTGCGCGCGCGCATATATATATATATATATATATAGATTGATAGATAGATAGATAGAGAGAGAGATACTGAAACATAGTGGAAACGTTTTTAATCGACGCGTTTTGCCGACCCGACGTGAAGTTTGTTAGGTTCGGCTTCTTCAGGTTGGAATGAAAGACAACGGAAAATGCATTCTTATTTTTTAGGATAAGAGAGGCAAAACTTAAATTACCTTATCAAATTCGGTTATCAGAGCCCATGAAGTGCTTGTTATAAGAGCCGTTGATGTCTGTTGGATTTTAAATCAATCCATTCCGTTTTGCTTTGGATACTGTTATACAAACATGTATATGCACAAATACACACGCGTGCGCACACAGACATACATACATATAATGTGTGTGCACATATGATAGATGGATGAGCAACAAATATATTTCCTATTAAACTTGGATGGCAATAAAGACAACACGATTTCGATATACCTGTCTAATCGTGATAGATTGCCAACAGAAAAGAGGAAATATATTAAAAGGCCCCAAGATCGCTTTATTCCAATAATGTGACAGAAAACTAACAAAATATCCTGAGGATGATCTGGTAATGAATTCGTTTGCCCTGAAATCAAGTCTGATCTCTGGGTCATCATCTGATGAAGCTTTTGTTGGTGGCAAGTTTCTTGGTAGTTTTTGTAGCAGTTGAATTGATGTTTATATATCCAGCCTCAGAATTACTTAGTACGTGAAGAATGAATCGTATTGAGTTGAAAAAATAAGTTTCCGATTGTTATGTTCCGACAATCCTCGTCGGAACTTTTATATTCCGTGCTAAGAGAATAAATACTCAACACCAGATGGATACTAGAAGAAAGGTTTATTGTACACAATAAGTACAATATGAAATACGGTACAGTTATATACACAGGTGCCACTAATTGGAAGATCGGACGTGCTTGCGTCTTCTCTCTCACTCTTACCTCGTCTTAGTATCTCGTAGACAGTTGAATTTATAGGTACTTACTACCTATAGTGTAATCATTCATGGGGGTGCCTGGTTATTCCATTACATCACCGATAATTCTTTGTATTGTTCCTCTTAACATTTCAACAGAATTTATTTATGGTGCTTTTATGATTAGAGATGCAGACTGGAATTTCTGAATTTATTTGACTTCCTGCTCTTGGAAAAGAGGGCCAGTCGCTTTGGCTTGGAATTAGTTAAATTCACTCCTTTTATACGCTTGCAATGATTCTTAGTATATTTGTCTCAGTTTGTTTTGGCTTCCTAGTCTTATCTTCTACTCTCCGCTTTACTTTCTCAGCAATCGACCGACTGAGTAACTGGCAAAAATCCTGGGTGCTGTCAAAGCTAAGTGATAGAGGTTCTTCGGGCAACAGATGAAAATATATTGTACTTCAAGGTACAAATCTACCACAAAGGCAAAATGAGGAAAGAAAGGGTGTTCTATCATTAACTTAGCCACAATCACTTACCCATCCGCTCGAATACTTTCCCTTTCACCAACGCTGCACAGGCTTACCACAAACAACATAATACCATATTTCCCAAAAAGTTTCGCAACTGACTAGAGAAAAAAAAAAGCATTGGCTTTTACAGATCTCTATTGGATGATCTTATTCTCGTCAACAGAAGGTAAAGTCTCCAGTTGGTTAACTGAATGTTGTGAGCTCAATTCCTGCCCTGGGCAGTACATTTTATTTTTCTCTTCAACCACAGTTGGATATAGAACAAATTTTGTTTATATTTTATTTTACATCGGCAAAGAAGCTAATTAGCATAATCGTTGGACAGTTGAATGCTTTCATTCGAAACACTATAATTTAAGGAAAGTACACACAATAATATTCCAAGATACTTCAAGGATTTTATTGTTAAGTTAGTTCACGTCAGAATAATGAGGATTGTGATTACTTTGTCCTAATTACATATTGATGAGTGCAGGTCTATCCGACTCGTAAAAAAAAAAAAAAAAAAAAAGTAACGAGAGCCCAAACAGATGCGGAAATTGTTCGATTTTAAGCTGGTATTTTTTATCTGGCACCTGACCACCTAGTGTCTGTTCATAATTTAAAAGCTTGTTATCAACAGACATGTTACTTTCTATTGATCCAGCCCCACCCCCGCGCTTTTTCGTTCTATATTTGTTCAGCCTTTTGTACTTCGTAGTTCCCTTACATCCTGTAATCAAATTTCACGTCTCCTGTGTAAATCCTGTAGTTGTATTGTTGACAGATGGCTACCCAATTTAACGTACCTGTCCGAATAGTGCACCGACTTCGAGAATAAAATTATAGCCTAGCTTTTAAGCATCTTTATCGTCGAGATTAGCTAACAGAAAAAAAAAAAACGGGTTGTTTAAATTTCATACTTTATTGGAGGCCTACAACTGTACGTTGTCTCAACATAAGACATGTACTGCCTTGGCGAGTATATTTTTAGTGTAATATTTATTTATAATGTTAAATTTAGCACCGATTTTTGACACTGGAGATTCAAAATAAGCTTATAGTTTTTTTCCTCTATGAAAGGCTAAACGTGACATTATTATGAAAAGTCACGTGATGTGAGAGTTTTGTCTCTTTACAGAGAAATTAATTTAAGAAAATTTTATAGTATTTTAAATTCTTTTTTATTTTTGTATAAAGCATCTTCGAAAAAAGTCAATAAATTATTACATAATTGTGGAAAATATGTTCATTTGTAAAAATTGCTAGGTAGTTAAAAACCAAAAAAAAAAATATTATTACCTTTTAATGCTATAATAATATTTATTTCAAATCAGATTAATTTAACTTTAAATTTTCTAATTTTACTAAATAACGTGTCATACATACACACACACTGTATATATATATATATATATATATATATATATATATATATATATATAAAGAGTTTTAAAAATCGATAAATTTGTTTTGTTTACAAATTTCTTAAAATTAAGAAAATGGCTGCTTTTAAGAAAATTTTAAGAAATCGAAATTAAATTTTACATTCGAATCTATATAATTTCTATCTGAAATACACCAGAATATTTTACTTACTGGAAATAAATTTAATCATTTAGCTTTCAATTAAAGCTAAAATGAAATCTTCAAGAATGTTTTTTCATTAAAAAAAAATCATTTTAATCTTTGGGTATCGAAATTTTATGCTGAAAAAGTGGAGGTACCTACTAGACATTAATATTGCATTCTATCTGCCTTCTTATTTAAGGTATACGTCACATTCAAAAATACAATAAATAGACAGATAAATAAATAACGAGACAAAAAGATACGAAATTAGGATAATATGTTATTGTTTCTTCAATATAAAAGCTATTACATCGAGATCCTACTGCGTTAACCGAGAGAATAGCCTAATTAGTAACGATTGGCGTTCAAACCCATGTAAAAGTAAGCAGGCCCTCGCAATTTGGAAGCTTAGTAGATAGATTAACTTATCGTCTGGTTCACTTTCCTCACCAGTGTTTTGAACAGTAGTGTTGGTTTATCCTTTGTTTCCTGTTTAGGATTGCGCT